GGTTAAACCGGAGACGATGAACCTCGTACAATGCCGGATCAGGTCGTTCGAGTCGAACATGGACAACTCTAGCCCGGTGAAGGAGGTGCTAGCTATGCAAGAACCGTTAAAAGTGTCGCCGCTTCAAGCAACCGAAGCTCACGTCTCGAAGTTGGATTGCTCGAAGAAGACGTCGTCGATCATTCGTAATTTCGCGCTAGGCGAGTCCGAGTCTCAGGATTCCAAGTACAGAAACGCGAAAGAGGGTCACGCGAAACAGGCGTCCACGGACAGCAACAAGTCGGTGAAGGACCTGCTGGCGGACTTCGAGAGGAAATCTCAGCAAGTTCAAAGACAAGAATACGGCAGACGTCAGGAAGTGAAACACCGCGGAGTGTTCAGCGATTCGGAGGCCCTGCTTTACGACACGGGAAGCGACTTGGATCAACGAGAGAAAAACGAGGATGCAGGGAACGAGAGAGACGTCAAGGCGGATCAAGTTGTACCTGAGCCTATCGACGACTACAAGTGTTACACCGAGGCGGCCAAGAAGAAAGGGGACGTGTCCTTCCGACGAAAAAAGAGATCACCTTCCAAGGAGAGCATGACCGATCAGAACATTCCTAGCGAAGATCTGGATAACGTATCTAATCCTAGTTGCAACAGGCTAAGCGTGACGGAATCATTATTGACTCATGGCGATCGTTTCTCGGGGGAGAGTCGAACCACCAGTCCCACGGTGAAGCAAGAAGACGTCAATCCGGAAGAGCATTACCTTCCGATGTCGCCTAGAAAAGCTATATTGGACCCCAACTGCGACGATCGACCGAATCCGAACATGATGGAAAGCTTGTTCGCCAATTTTGAACACGAAGAGAGCTCGTACGTGGAGATGGCTCAGAACGGTATGACGCATTCTCTACTAGCACCTACCGAAGAGAACAGGAAACACGATTCTGGCGATTATTCCACCTTGGACACGCCTCACTACGAGTTCGTTTGCGTTTCCGATAGCAAGATGGAACCCGTTTACATGGAAGTGAGTCAGCTGCCGGAAAAGGAAGAAAAAGATTGTAAGATGTCGAAGAAGAGGAATCACGACGACGGCAGTCACTCGAGAACGGATCTTCCCGACATTTTAACGACCCTGAAGTCCGATAGTTCCGACGCCGACGACGAGTCGTCGAAGGATCTCGACTCGATCGATGCTCCGCGACATCCTCGGTTCAGCTTGTCGGACACCTTCAGGCCCGCTTCTTATTATTTGGGCGCAAGTCGAACGATGATAGCGGAATTGCACGACTCGTCCGACAGCGAACTGGTGTCTCCGCCACCGATCCCAACTTCTCCTCCGCCGCTGGACGATTTGGACTCTCTGGATATGCAAGAATCCCTGGAGATCAAGAAGGTGTCTCCTCAGGTTGCGGTAATGAAAGACAACGGTTCCAACAGGGACTCTCCGAAGTCGTGGAACAAACCGATGGGTCAGGTTGAAACCCACAGACCGCCGTCGAGATTCTCAGACGCCACCATCAGTTCTACTTTCAGGGACAGTCGAATCTCCTTGGAGAGCGCATCCGGAAGCGACTCCGTGGAGCTAAGAACACCGGAGGAGGAAGCCAGACATAGGCAGCTAAAAACTAGACCCGTTAGCGAAGTTTGCGAAGTTCTGGACAGTTTGGACGAATTAGAGTCTCTTGGGAGTCGTTTCGACGGGGCTAGCATCGACTTGGATCAGTACTTGGAGGAGCTGCAGGCACGCGACGCTTTCAACGTCGATCTGTACGCGAAGGATCTCAGCTACAACAGCATCTACGGCTTCAACGAGAACATGCTGGTGGTGGATAAGCTTCACAAGTCCACGTGTCACGATCTGTCGGGGCAGACGAACCTAGGTTTCAACAATCTCGAACAATCTCTGAGATACGGAGCCGGGAACAAGATGGGATCGGCCAGCAGTTTGCCTTCCATGAGAGTCTCCGACGTTGTCCCACCCTCTCATCAGCATTCGCAGTCTTTCACCGGCGACGCTCATTACGAGAACATTTCCAGCTTTTCTCCGCTCAGAGGCTCGCCGGCGATTCGATCCGACAACGAACACACGCGAGACGTTGGTCACCGGCTTCAGAGAGGATCGCAGAACAATTTGCTGACTGCCTCTCACAGCAGAGATTCCAGCTATTCGATTTCCACCTCTATGGCTTGCCAAAGACCCGCCAGTGCACAGTCCTCCATGCACTCGCCCACGGGATCCATCTCTTTAGGAAATCACGGTAACAACCTGGCAGCCGGCGTGCTGCAGAACACCAGTCCTTACTCCGATCAACGCTTCCAGAGTCACTCCAGGTCGGCCAGTCAGGACTCTGCTCGATATTCCATGATATCGAATCACAGGTCCTCTTCGAGCCAGGACTCGAGCCATTATCCCACCTCGACTCCCACTGTCAAAACGAATCACGCTTCGCCGTCCTACTTACCGAGCGAAACGCGAGCTCAGAGCGAACAGTCTGGCGCGCCCTATTACTACTCGGACCTACAAGCCAGCGTGAACGCGGTCGATACCGAATCGAGCAAGCCGCACGCTTCCAGGCTGCCCCAGTTGAACAATCAAAGGGACGACGCTTCGGCGTTGAACAAAAAGAACGATATAGGTCGCATCGTGAATCCCATATCGAGGCAGATGCCTAGGCAGATACAGGTAGACGACATCGACGAGGCCAGGCGCATAGCTGCCGAACTGAGGAAAACCACGTGCCAGCTATTGGGTGACAACAAGGTCGATCTAGTGGACAAGAAGAACTTCTACGAAGCGGACACTCTTAGAAGGGTCAAGTCCACGGATCCCCTTCCGGATATTTCATCGGCGGAGATCAGCACCAGAAATCTATATCCCCACGGGCTTCGAGACAAATCGAACAGTCAAGCGAGCAATCGGGACTCGTTCGAGCTGACTCATGGAACGCAGACGTCGCATCGCAGATCCAGGTCTCTGGAGGGTCTTTTGGACGACATGGGTCTTCAGAATCTGGTGGAGCAGAGGAACCGAAGCAACCGGGCGACGACCGTTCAGCCCACTCAAGTGGACGAAATGCCGCAGAGTACGAGCACCGATAACGTCTCGACGTCGAACGGTAACTTTGGCGCCGAGGACCCCTGGGAACAGGACTCCCTCTGGAGGGAAAGTCTTCGAAGAGTGAGCCTGAGGAACGCCCGGTCCCTGGACAACCTGGATAGTCCGGCAAGAGCCACGGTGTCCGGCTCGGACACGAAGAGTCGAAATAAAGTGACTCGCGGCGCCACTTACGTGAACGACAGCGTGATCTCGAGGAGAGAGAACTACGCGGAGGAGTCGTCGGAGAGACCTCGCGTGAAACGCAGAGCGAACAAGGAACAGGACAGACTGGTCGACGATCTGACATACGAGAGCCTCTCGATGGATCGCATTCACGCCGGTGGCTACGTGTGGGACGCCCAGAACGAGGCTTACAGGAAGGCGACTGACGAGGACAGGAATCATTTTTTAGAGGAAGGCAACCTTCCCCCGGTTCGCTCGATCTCGGAGGGCCAGGTGTCAGCCACGACGTCCGCGGCGTTCGAGCTGGACCGAGAGAAACTACGGCAATGGGACCTGCTGTCGAGCGCCTGCTTGCTCCAGGAACAGCAGCGCGGCTCGATGGCGGACTCGGGGCGAGGGTTGCCAACTGCAGAACGACCTGGAGACGTTCTCGATCCAAGGAACAGCGCCGTCAACGGCCCGTCGACGATCGCGAGTTCTACGCCGACAATTGCGCCTGCGGCCAACGATCCAGATGTCGGTTTAAAGGCGTTGGTCAACGGACCGCGGAATGTTTCGACAGCGACCACGACGAAGAGGGGTCAGGAGCCGAACGAGACCAAGGAGGCTCGTTGTAACAGGGCCGCTGCAGGTGAGTGGCTGCTCAAGACCGGTGGTGTGTTCAGGAAGTGACTGGGCCGTCGGCCGTGTTCCAATGCCTCGACTGGCTCGTTTGGACTCGATGGACATTCTGTCATCGATGTTTGCGCTCGATGGGATTCGCTGACTACCAAATGTACCTGCGTTTATGGTGGCCTGTATAGCGTTTAGCCACACGATCGATGTATTCTTTTGGAACCTGAATCGGCCGATCTGCGGACTGAAACGATCTATGATTGTGCTACGAACTGTCCCAAAACAATGGAATCGTGGCAAGTTTTCTAGAACGCGACTGTAGAGTGCCCGACTCTAGACACCGGATGCTGTGGATCAACGATCTCCTCGCCATGATTCCACGCTTTTGGGACACCTTCTATGATGCGTTGTTTTCTTTCTGCGTCTCGAATCTAGTTAATCCTTTAGTTACAGCCACGAACGAGAATCGTCGAGTGTACACGTCGAACCAAAGTTATTTATTACTTTTTTCTAAAATGCTTTCAACCTCGATACGTTTTATACATTCTTCCGCAGCGCATTCTTTTTGAGTCGTCCTGTACACGCGCTTTCTATATTTCGCTACTTTCAGAGAACGAGCGTATATTACTTAGCTAAAGGGTTAAAAATTTCAAGTTAATACTCCATTTACCTGCCGCTTTCACCAATAAACATTACCAGAATCTTTAGATCCCGCGCCGATTCGTGTTTCAAAAGAATACAAAACTCTTACCTGTTAGATGATACAAAGCAAAAGACCGCGTTCCAACTTGCATTCGAATTTTCTGCGTTTTCTCTTTTGGATTCGATTTATATGATTTTGTCGCGAACACTTTCGTATACGAAGCCGTACGATTATCCGTTTTAAGTAGATCGCGAAGCACCTCTTTTCACGGAGAACACTTTTGTCCTCAAGTAGTGCGAGTTGGAACACGGCCTGACAGATGAATGTTGCGTGAACTTGTACGTGTGTGAGTGAGTCTCGTTAGAAGCTATTGTACAAAGAGCAAGAAGCTTCGCGACTTTGCTGAACGATCTTCCTCGTGAAGATTCTATTACTCGGATGAACAATTCTCATTATGCTTTCTTTCTCGTTGCGTTCGATTCGCGTTACGTTTCGAGCAATTTAAAACCCTTTGCGCTTTTCCCGTCACGCGTTCAAGCGTTCAGCGTGCAAAAGTTTATACTGTATGTGACTCGTCGTGCGATATCTGGATTATTTATTAACGGTAGCAGTGTCCTGTGACGGGAAAAGCGTTATTGTGATCATCGAACTGCCTCTTAGCGAATCTATGGGAATATACATTGTGTTCGTACGATTCTTTATTCTTATGGTGAGTATACGCGGTTAAAGTTTGACCGACTGTTCTTGAAATACCCTGTAGAACGAAGCTCGATATAGAGGGAGAACCATGTAACGTGATCGCTGTAAATTATTTTGTTGCTAAGGGATCGATTGAACATTTTCTGTATCTTTTAATGCAATAATTCGTTGTTATATTTTTTTTCGATTTATCCTTAATCTCGAACCATCCATTAGCAATCGAATAATCGAAGACAATCACGTTAGACGGAGAGTGTATATATACACGTACGTTCTTTTTTGATATTCATTGATATTTTATCGTGTAAGCGTGATTAAAATAGAGCTTTTTTACAATTATTTCATTTTCGAGTATTGTGTATATCTCTGCGTTGCCGTATCGAATAAGGATTGTGTGTTTAGTATTTTTTGAGATTCTTTAACGGAAGGACATAAATTTCCTTTTTCGAAGAATTTATCTTGATCCTGTTTAATATAGAGTTAATTATTGCCAGTTGTACTTTCAATAAGATCATGCGAAAAGAATTAACGATCAATTTCAAGAGTTGTTTCGAACTTCGCGTTACGAAGTTTAATTAAAGATCGATCGAAAGCATCGTCGATAGTAATGAATAAAGTCTGACAAATAGAGATCATTGACACGATCTAGTTTCCTGGAATACCTTTCATAGAAATTGTTACAGGTGTATACTTAGATGCAGAGACGCGGAATCCAAGAACTTCTCGTGAGTAACATTTTTATAATTTAAAACGGAGAACAAACACTCTTAACTATTCGAGTGATTCTATAGCGTGTTAGATGATAAATTAAGCTATAAGAGGACGATAGACTGTTGAAATGCCTAAAAATTAATCACGATTTCAAACATTGATCTTGAGTAACTTTGATTTATAATCTAATATATTGTATGCTGTTAAAGTTCCATTAAAGAGGGTCATAAACATCTTTATCGTTTACAACAGACTATTTTTAAGACATTCATAGTCAATTTACATCGGTCAATCAATATTTATCTCTTCCAAGAAAGAGACCGCGATCGCGTAGAGCAAAAGGACGCGAAAGAGTCCAACCAGTTAAGCGTCGAAGATATGAAACACGTACGTACGAGCGAAAGAAGTTTGGATAACGGTCAGGTAGTCGGCCAGGCATCGGGAGAAACTCGAGAGAGGTCGAACGACTACCTTGCCTAGCGACTTCTTAATAAGTACGTTCACCTTCGGTGACCGGTGAACACCCAAACACACGCTGTTGCTCCAAAACACCGCGGATTAACGCTTCACAAATTTAATACCTAATCCGAACCCGACTCTAAGAGCGTCAAATTTTATCGTTTTCAAATTTTTTTATAAAACTAAAAGACGTTAACGAACAATCTTTTATTAATTAACTCTCGAACAATAGATCACGAAGAATCCTAAAACGAGCAAGTAGAAAAAGGTTCTGGTAGCTAAATAATTTGTAACAAGAAAGGAAAAGGAATAAGATTAAAATTGCGAAGCGCGTACTTACGAAATCGTTGTATACTCGAATTGTTCCTCGGCTGGTCGCTGGTTTGCCAGATCAGAAAAGGAAGACGAAAACGGACCGGACTTTGCCGGTCACCTATCGAAACGGGTTCGGGTCTTCTCGAGAAGGTCGCAGAAGAAAAAAAGAAACGAAAAAGAACGGAAACAAAGACGATGGAGAATCCGTACGATGACCGTCTGTGTCGGTAGCCGGATAATCCGTATAAATTCCATTAAATCCGCCGCCGCTTGAAAGGCAAAACAGTGAGCCGTTGGCAGCCTAGAAATCATTTAAACGGTCAAACTGTCGCGAGTCCGCAGAGAGATTAAACGGTGACTGATTGCACGGCGTTGATATCGCTTGGCTTGCCGACTACGGCAGGAAACATTCATTTCATGCCTGTTTCTGACCATCGCTCACATTTTTTCATATTTTTTACCGAACTAGGACACGGAATGGCTTCGAATATTATGCGATACGTCGGAATTGACACACGTTAGAGCTCGCGTAGACAAACGGGTGACTCTCGAGTCGTTTTATCTTGTAGAAATGTTTGGGTAACAAAGAATCGAGCAAACGAAGGTTCGGTATGTAGATAAGTCACTTCGTCACGAGTCGAATCACCATACAATAGATTTTCACGGATTAGACTTCTTTAGACCTTCGTACAATCAGTTGTCCGGTAGATGTGTTATAATTTTAAGATGTATAACGCGAGTATAGCTTCTTTCGCTAACAACGACGAAAGAAGACGTTGAAAAGAACACGGTACTTTGCGCGAGGGACTTAATTTACTTGACTCGCGTGCGATCGCGAGCGAGATCAGCCTAAATCAAAGGTGCGGCAGCGGAGAATTCATTACGAAGACAATGACAAGTGGTTTACCTACTAAAAATTATCGCGGTCGTTTTACGCGTCAACGTTCTCTTCGTTCTTCGTGTTCACGAGCTTTGACCATCCGATTACAAGGACAGATTACTCGATGATATCGTAATCGTCGGACGGAGGTAAACCATTTTGAATCGTGTTCACGATCTATGCAGAGAGCTGCCATTTCTGTGGTGACGAGCACAGTGACCGAGGGTTACACCGATGCCATAAACTGCTTAGGATAGTCGTTGCACGCTGTACTTTGTCGTAGGTTCAATAACACGAACAATCGATGGACACTACAGTGTTTTCACGTTGTACCGTCCTCTAAGTTGAAACAGGAGAAGGTAAATCTTGTTCTCTATTGTAATTCAAAAGTTTAATGCCAAACAGATTGAAAAGTTTAGGTTAACGTATGGTGGAACACTATCGAACTGACAGAGCAGATTGAAATAAAATAGAGGGTCCGCATGAAAGGATTAAATTATAAAAGGTAAATAGTAATTAGTACATAACCACCTGTTGCTGTAATTCCATCGTGAAATCTTGAAAAAGTTAGAGGTTAAGAATTATTAATTTACGAAAAAGGACCCAAAATTGTATAATAAATTGGTAATAGTACCATTTACGATAAATAATTTCGCGGTACCGTACTTGCCATAAAATATGTAACAGTTGAACGCGAGACGAATTTGTGTTAGAGTAATAATTTAGGAAAGAGCATTTATCTTCCTACTTGGAACACAGGATAATCGTGTTAGACTATCGCGAATCAGAGAAACTGCAAACTCAATTGTTGCATAATTCAGTTGTCGGTGGAATAGTCGTACCGAGGATCGATAGCTACGAATGTTTTGAAATATCGATGAGCGGCTCAGCCGAAGCTTTTTAATACATCAGTAGGATCGACGTTGCTTTTAAACCGATCAATCTTCCTTCTGTTCGCCCGTTCGCCGAGAAACACGCTATGTATTCCAGATTGGCCATACCCAACGTATTAGAACCAGACTCTCGGAACATCCAGGAATATTTGATTAACGTCCATGCTTAAGTGAACCGCGTTGCTCGTTGTTTGCGATGCCGATTGAAACGCTTGCATTTTATGGACTCGTGTCGTGGTAAACCCTCTCTCCGCATTTCTTTTTCAAAATTCCATGAAATTCATGATAGTTGTACGGAACAGTACAAACATGGACTTGCATCGAAATTACGAAGTGAATTTTTACGAAAAGAATTTACAAAAAAACGCCGCAGATTGTTAGTTATCGAGTTAAAATTCGAAACTCAGAAAGGAAAA